AGTGTTCTTAACCAATAAAATTACAAGATTCAATATAATATATAACAATAAAATTGCCAGATTCATTTTAACATACTGAGTAAATAACCAGTATTATATATTTGGCAAATAATCAATAAACAAATGGAAACACATATAAAAAAAGTGGAAACAATAAGAAAATACACGTGCTTCTTTGTGAAAATCCAAAACTCGCTTGTGGTCTACAGGTTCATAGTCCGTACACACATAACTTACTCGGACAACTGACTTTTCTTAAATTTCACAAAATCATCCCAAAAATTTGGGATGTTTTGAACAAAGCTCTCTTAAATTATAATTTAGAGAAAACATTCTGAGCTCATTTCATTAAAATAGTATGATTGATGACCATTAGTTTAAATTGTCACGTGCATCACACGTGACACATCAACAATTTTGTGTTTATGTACTTAACATATATATTTGTTATATCGCCCTCTTTTTCGGGTTAGGATAGATAGAGAATAACAAGGATGATTTTAAAATTCCGTAAAAAAGTCAATTTTTAGTTATTCATGAGGATTTTCTATATTATTTATAACCCAAAAAGATTTTTTTTCTTAATCTATAAAGTTTAAGATGTTTTGCAAAATATATCCTAAAGTTAGTGGGTTTTCTGAAATTTGCTCTCTCTGTTAATGCAGGGGATTTTGACAATGGTGATGGATGACTAGATCTTCGCTTTCATTTGCCCAACCATTTTTGGGATCAGTCTCAATCTACACGTCTCTAATCTCCATGATGAATAAGGGACAGCTCAAAAGCAACAATAGAAAGATAATTAGCGTCACCATTAGAAAAAGATTATCACCTAAATCTTAAACCTTGTGATTCGTTTGGACTCAAGTGAACCGAGAACTTTTTGAACAACACGAAAAGGCTTTGTCTCCTGCTCAAGAAATTAGGTGCACATTCAGCATACTGTCATATCACATGATTATTTGGCAAAGGGGGAGAACATAATAATTGAGAGCAGTAAATAAATTGTAGAAATACTGAATATAAAAACTAAATTCAAAATTACATAAAGAGTAGTGCTACAGGGACCCCAAATAGGGGACCCCTGAGGGGACCGGTGAGGCGTCAGCCCCTGGGGGGCTGATTTACTGTTCATGAACAGTAAATCAGCCCCCCAGGGGCTGACGCCTCACCGGTCCCCTCAGGGGTCCCCTATTTGGGGTCCCTGTAGCACTACTCTTTATGTAATTTTGAATTTAGTTTTTATATTCAGTATTTCTACAATTTATTTACTGCTCTCAATTATTATGTTCTCCCCCTTTGCCAAATAATCATGTGATATGACAGTATGCTGAATGTGCACCTAATTTCTTGAGCAGGAGACAAAGCCTTTTCGTGTTGTTCAAAAAGTTCTCGGTTCACTTGAGTCCAAACGAATCACAAGGTTTAAGATTTAGGTGATAATCTTTTTCTAATGGTGACGCTAATTATCTTTCTATTGTTGCTTTTGAGCTGTCCCTTATTCATCATGGAGATTAGAGACGTGTAGATTGAGACTGATCCCAAAAATGGTTGGGCAAATGAAAGCGAAGATCTAGTCATCCATCACCATTGTCAAAATCCCCTGCATTAACAGAGAGAGCAAATTTCAGAAAACCCACTAGTAAATCAGCCCCCCATGGGCTGACGCCTCACCTGTCCCCTCAGGGGTCCCCTTTTTTGGGATCCCTGAGGAGTTTTCCTTACATAAATGAAAGCAATGGTCAATCTTAAAGTAAAGTGTTAGGCCACAAATGCTTGGCTTTTTTATTTTTAACCACCCCCCTTCTTCTTTAGTAGATATATGCGTGCGTGTTAACCTCTACAGTCTAGGACTATATATGGGTGGATCTTCACCAACATGAAAGAAAGTTAAAAGCAATAAATTTGTCTTTATCCTTCCGAATTTTAAATTTGTTATTGTTTTAAATACAGGGTTGAACAATGTTACTTCAAAATTTTTAAAAGATAAACCATGCAACTACCGTTACTTTATATGGTTTTTAGAAAACGATCATAAAGTTTCTATTATTAAAGACTATCATAAACGTCCAAAATTTTTGAAAGTATCACAAACTGTTGAAAATAAATGCCGAGGATGTTAACTTTTTGGATTATAA